AGGTCTATTTTGTGGAAGAGATGAACCTCAAGCAAGATATTCATTGGTTCCATGTGGTAATCTTTTTTGTCAATGTTGTCTTCCATTAAATACTTACAAGAAAAGTCAACCATGGTCAATTGTTAATTTTGCTTCAAGTTCAATGCATCGATTTCTCAATGGTTATACTACCTATCTAAATTGTCCAGCAGTACGTTATCCTTAAATATTGAATTTTCTATCGATCGGCTATGCTTAAAATTTAGACATGTACTACATCGAATATAATTTATGCCATGACATGCTCATGTGGCCATTATGATTATGTTGTACTGTAATCATTCCATAATACAGTATCAAGACTATTTATAATGTAAGATCGTTTGAGTTTAAAATCTATCCGAACTCAATGAATACTTTGTATTGTTTAAAAAAAATATGTCATTTGAATCAATAACTTCTTTGACATGGACTGAACTTTAAGTTTAGAAAAGTGTTTTTTTACATGAAAATTGTCTCTTGTTAGCCTGAATTAAATTTAGCCACGAATGATGAAGATGATGATTCAGATGTGAATTTACACGAGATTGAAGAAAGAAATAAGTATATCGGCAACAATTTTTGCACAAAATGCTGATAGAGCAACACATATACCCATAGAAAAAGTGGTATATATATCTGATAATGGAACAACTGCTTTCCGAATTTTTTCCGAAGTAGAATATAAAAAATTCCGAATTTTGGTTAAAATATTTCGATTTCTAATTTTTCGATCTAGCAACTCTGGTTTAGTACAAGAAGAATTCCATAATAGTCTATGAAAATTGAAATACGTCAAAGGTATCAAATCTCGTTAAACTCGATAATTTTTTTCTAATGGTTTTATTCGACTGATAAACAAGCAGAAACAAATTTATGCATTCTTTTTCAAAGCTATTGTTTGATTGTTGAGAAGCGAGTTTGTATTCAGACTTTGCTATCGTATCGAACAATCAAATAATGCTTGTAGAAAAACTATACATAAATTTTTTTTTAAGCATCTGACTAGTAAAATCTTGAAAAAATATCGAGTCTGTTGGTACTTAATCATTTTATGATGTATTTTTTTTGACTCTATAATTTTTTTTTAACTAGTAAAATATATTTCATTGAATAATTATCTTACTTGAATAATATTTAATAATATTGTAAAATTAATATTAATTTTCATTCGATTTCTCTTATATTCCATTCCAATTAAATACTAATTATATATGTTAATATTTTGTTCTTTATAACAATATTGTCATCTAATACATACTCATTTTTATTAATATTGAAATGTTTCCGAATTTGGTACAGTATTAATGCATATTTTCATTTTAATAGTTGTATTGAATAATAAATCAAGTAATTGACTATTAATCATATGTTGATGATGAAAATAATAATAATGAAGAAATCTGACGATGTTGTTGTTTAATTATTAGTTAAATTAATTGTACACATGGATTTATCAACATTATTCATTAAACATAAAATTCTCCAAATCACTAAAAACATTATTATATATACATTTTTTAATCTTCTTTCTTTATTGATTAATACATACTTGTACATGAATAACAAATTGTTGATCTTGATGTGTATAGAACAGATATGTCGATATAAATAAATTTTTATTCAAAAGAAGAATATATCTTGTTTCATTCTTTTCTGTTGTAATAAATCCACCCAGCAAAGAAAAATTTTTTCAAGCTTCTGTAATGAATTATTTTGATCTAAAATTTTGTTGATATTTAGATATGTTCATCCAAAAAGAATATTATTGTAAAAATTTAAGTGTTTAAAAACTTCCATTGTTTTGTTTTTTTCGCCAGTCTATGAAATTGAATCAACAGTTTTTAACATTAAGTATGTCTACTTAAGTAATAGTTCGTCTGATGTAATATATTTTGTATTTTATCATAACAAATAAAATAATTATTCATAAATGTTGTTATTGAGTATCATTAATAAAAATAAACAAAACAATTTCATTTTCATTCCAAATGAGATACAATCTAAAAAAATTCATAAATAAATCATTATATGTTAATGTTAACAAGAGAGAAAGGAAAGAAAAAAGAAATATATGTGAAGAGAGGAATTTTCTTTTTCTTTTTTGTCTTTCTCTCGTCCATAATTCATTGTTCATGTTGTTATCATTGACGATCAATGATCAACATGTACAATTAAATGTGTATATCATTTTCGACGAGAGAAAAAAAATGATTTTTCAAGGTATAAATACGAATGATTTTCTATGTAAAATCATTCAAATTTTTGAATCAAATAATACTCATTTTTCTTTTCTGTTTTAGATTGGCTTCAACCAAACAATATGAAACAATTCAACAACAAACCAGACAATAAAATGAAATGTAGGTATTAGTTTTACTTTTTTTTTTATTTTTTTTTATTTTACGATCATAAGGATGGTGGGGTAAGGCCTCCTTTGATCTTTTTATTGTTTTTATTTTATTTTAGGGAATAAACAATGAAGAAAACGATAACATTAGGGTAAGTCATCTCATTCTATTTCATTAAGTAACATTGTTTAAATTTTTTTTTCTGTTCCTTTCAGCTATCAATATAATCGCGTCATCAACATCAGACACGGTAAGTCATTTTGTTTTTTTTTAGATGAGAATAGGTAGTGAGATTGAGAGTTTAGGGTGAGACTAAGAAAAGTGAGTGTTAGTGAGAGACGAGGGTGAGTTCTGTTCGTTGAGGGTTAGGGTTTCGCCCCCAATGAAGGACTTCCGGGTAGTCCCTAAAAGCTCGGCCAGGAATCGTCTTGGTGTCCGTGGCACACGACCAGGCTTATTCAGACTCATTGACATATCTCTCACGGGGAGGGTATGAATGATATGAGTCTGTCCTGTGCGTGCATGAGCGTTACGCTCGCCACGGCTCCACCAGGATGGTTCCTGGTCGCGCGCGCGCGCGAATAGAATAGACATTCATTTCATCAATCCAATGCGGTTTATTTGAAACGAAAGAAACGCAAAAAAAATAATCCATCAGTTTGAGTCTATTCAATTGAAAAGCGTTGAACACGATGATTCTCCCAATCGACGACATAGAGACTGCCATGTCGATCGAAGGACAAATCATCGGGATACTTGAACTGATTTGCTCCTTCTCCGTAGCCATTTCCACCTACAATGATAGTGCCCTGTTTCGCTCCTTTGGGCCAACGCATCACTCGATGATTCCACGAGTCTGTCACATAGATGGTACCCAATGTATCGACGAATAGTCCGTAAGGATGCGACAATTGTTTCAGATCATCCCCTTTGCCTTGACCTCCAGCGACGACAATTCCTTCTTTTGCACCTTTATTCCATTTCATCACACGATGATTGTCGTAGTCTGACACGTAGACAGTCTGTTGTTGATCGACAAAGATGTAGGTCGGAAAGTTGAGTTGATTGAGACCAGCACCTTTGCCATTGCCACCAGCCACAAGAGTTCCATTCTTGTCTCCTATTTGATACCGTCTTACTTCATGTTTCATGTAGTCAGAGATATAGAGATATCTCTGATCATCCATGGCCAATCCATCACACCAGATATTGTCGATGAGAATTTCTCCTTGAGTTGTACCACTACGACGAGACCATCGTACGACTCGTCGATTCCACCGATCACAAATAATGAGACTATCTGTCTCTTTGTCAATCAATACATCGGTTGGACAATTCAATTGATCCAATCGATTTCCTTGACCATGACCACCAGCTACTACTTGTCCATTCGTATCGTCCATCTTCCATTGGATGATACGATGATTGCCGAAGTCAGTGATGACTATCGTTTGATCATCATTAACGAAGAGACCATAAGGGTAGTTGAGTTGATTAGTGGCATTGCCTTTTCCATGACCTCCAGCAACAGTCACTCCATTCTGTTTCCAACGGGCATTGGCTGGAATATTGAGAATTACTACAATGAACGAAAAAGAAAAGAAATCGTCGTTGTCGAAGGGATTCCGTCTCTCGTGAGAGCAAGCGCTACAAATATGACATTCGTCTTTTAAAATGCTCGTTCCGCAGATAAAAATTCAGAAGTCTTTTCCTAGTTTTCTTTGAGAAAAAAGGATTTGGTAACGATTCTTACATCTATGTTACTTCTAGTTCTTGCCAAGATCTTTTTGATCATAAAAACAACATCTGGAGATTACTGTAAGGAGGTTCTCCAAGAAAGAGTAATACTAATTCTATGTAAGTTTTTGATAGAAAAACATTAGGATCTGAGGATTTTTTTCAGAATTACAAGAATTCAGAATCTTTTTGGCGGAATGATCATTTATATGAACATCAGAGAAGATTCTATCTGTATCTTGTGTGAAGAATATTGAATCGTTGAACAACAAAATATCAAACCTAATCCCTATGTTTTTTAGGAAACCTTATGAATATTTTCTGTATGATGAATGTAGATCTGCCGAAGAAACTCCTAAATATTTGCATAGAGAATGCCGGTGAAATTTTATAAGGCTTTTGGTAAGTTATGCCAAGCTTTTCGAAGAACAACCGTGATGTACTCTGAGTTGGATCATGAGAAGGCTTGGATACAGGCGAAACTGAACAAAGTTGAGAGGATTCCACGCGAATCTATGTAATCTGAGAGGGCTTCTACTTTTGAAAATGCTGAAAAGGTGGATGTCAATCCGAACGGAGCTCTCCAGCGACAAACATTGGGATCTATGGATTTTATGGCTTTGGAAAAGGGCGATGATAATGGGATAGGCAGAAAGTGTTCTAAAATGCTATTTTTAACTTTTGATGAACACCATCTTCAAACCATTGTATTAGGGTCCTCAAAGAGAATCTTGATGACTAAATAATATACTCTGTCAAAATCTGAAAATCTAAAAATAATGAGTATCTTCTATGAGGATCATGTTATAATCCTTATGTAGTACTTGTTCTGAGAAGTCTTCTGTAAGCTTGCATGTTATGGATATGTTCAGGAGGATCTGAAGAGTAAGTATTTTGGAATGGTTGATATCAGAGATGGGCAATTCCAACTCCAAAGTTGATGCTTTTTCTCATCAGAGTGAAAAAGGAGTAGGAACAGGACAGAATAGAGGTCCCTATCTTTAAATTTTATTGGAAAGTTTATAAAGCAATAAATTAATATGCTACTAATTTATATCAATCGTAGATTTAATTATGTTCAAAAACTTATGTGTGTTTAAGAATGTTTTGGCAGAAGTTCAGTTTTGTAAAATCCGACTCGAATTGAAGTTAAATTGAAGTTGAAGTAAGATTTTAGAAAGTAGGACTGGAGTTATATGGAGTTGAAGAGAGATAGAGTGTAGTTGTTCATCTTTGCTTAGTACACAAATGTCGATCCTAATCAGTACCCAGGATAACTTCTCTGGAATATTAAGAATTACTACAATGAACGACAAAGAAAAGAGATCGTCATTATCGAAGAGATTTTCGTCGCTCATACACGAGAAAGTACTATAAATGAGACAGTGTTTCTGTAACGTAGTCTTTAAAAAAAAAGCACATCGTAAGGAAATGCTTTCGATGTCGAGGAAGAGAAAACTGCTTAACATGAAATTCTAAGGAGATTTCTATGTTCTAGTTTAGTATTAGAATTTGAAAAGGAAATCTTACGATTCTTTCAGCGATATTCAGCTCATTTTCGTATGATATAGGATGTTCGAAAGAAGAAAAAAAATGATGAAATGAAATATCAAGATGCTTAAAGTCGTGTGCATTTTAAGTTTTTCATGATAGGGGTTGAAAAACGATCTCTATAAAACATTAATTAGGATTTATGTCTAAGCTACTCTTTTAATTGTATAACTTTTTTTTTATAAAAGTAAATCCTTTTTTCAATTAAGCATAAACTATCATTCATCAGCCATGTTTGATGCTTGTGATACAATATCATCTTAATACATTAAGTAGTTTCATTAGACTAAAAAGACTTTCATTAAATTGATGAAAACTCGTTATAGTTTTATCAAAAACAATTTTTTTGATTTTTTCCGAATTCTAAATTGTTTTTAGATCTGTTTTCTTAGTAACGAAAAGAAATTATTATCATACTTAAACATATTAGTTAAAACAATATTGAAAATAAGAACAATAATATCGAATTGATATAATATAACTTACAAATTCTTTCGTAGAATTTCTTAACCTATAGGATATAAAAAGATTTAGTTTGTTTTTCGATGATTTTCTGAATGACATTCGAATCTACTATTATCATAATAATATAATAGTAAATAATTTCTAATATCGAAAAAAAAATCATTTTTTTCTCGCTAGAAATTCTAGAAGTTATGAAAATACTCTAAGAGCAGATATTTATTTAGTCAAGTTTATTAATTTGAAGCAAAAAGAAATCTCAAAAATGACCTCAAGTAAAAAAAAAAGAGATGATCTTAGATTTTTTAAAATGTTTATAAGATATGCAATCTACTCAGTATAGGCAGAATTCGTCCAATGAAATTTAAGATTATACAGAGTGCTTTTGTCTCTAATAACTAGTCAAATACTTAACATACTTCTTGGTATAGTGGGCTGATATTTTTATCCATGATTATCAAAACTTGCTTTAGTGTATTTACAGCTGACTTTAAGAAAAAAATCTAAACTTCCAAGAGTCATGAAAAATGAATATTGCAATTTTATCAACAAATTATTGCTCTTTATAACCAAAACTCTGAGGATATACTGAGTAACAAGACTTTTATCTGTAGTATAAGTACGAACGAAACGACACTAGTGGGAATTAATCGAAAAAGTTATATACCGATCAGTTGTAAATACTTCAAAACAATTGTTAACAATATTTCTTTTATGAATATGACCTATGAATACTGTTTTACTAACAAGACTTTCATAAAAATAATAATATTATGAATTGATGAAATTCTAAAAACACTCTACACATTACAGAAGATAAGGTAAAAATTAAACAAAGATTTCGAATGAAGTAGATTTGAGATTTAGCTTCTCTTTTTATATTAATGTTTTGTTTTCTATTTTTTTGATTTTGGAACGGGTTGTTGGGGGTATATATGTGTGGAACAGGTCTCAGACTATGATATAGTTTAAGAGTTGGCGAGAACTTTACAACGTTATAGTTGTGAGTGTAGTATATGAACATCGTCTTTTAATTTACATACATTAATAGCGACATATACACCCTAACTTGAAATTATTTTCTCAGTAGTGAGAACCCGTGCGATGTTTAACTTTTCATTCGATAATAGACATACAGATACACGATATTATGTATATAGATCGAAGCCTTACGACCTCATACTCTTCTAGCGCACATATTTTTATGGTTCATTTAATCTTACGTCCTTATAGCCTTATGTCCCTAGTACCACTTGTAGCTTTATCTCTTTATTGTCTTACATCCTTCAAGGCGTATGGGTACCCTATAGGACGACCCTTGAGGATCTATGGATATTTCCATAGGATAGTCTATGAGGACCTATGG